AATGTAACAAAGCATTTTCATGTACCAAAGGAATAGATGAATTTTGTATATTCTCTAGGATATGTTTGTGCAATTGCTTTCACTACTAGAATTTTGGCTATTTGCTGCGGTTGATTTTGTTTATTTGCTGCAGTTTTGAACCGCAGCAAATGGAGGAGCAGCAAAAAGCAGAATGAGTTGTTTGCTGCGGTCATGAACCGCAGCAATTAGGTTTGCCAAAATTATGAACAACTTGTTGCTGCGGTTACAACTACAAATTGATGCGGTTAAAACCGCAGCAATTACCATTTCAATAGCAACACATAGTTTTTTAGTAAATGAGCTGTTATTTTTGTTTCCTAATGCTATCCACGTGTGAATCTACAACAAATTGAATCTTGTTTATACAATAAGTAACTCTCTTTTCCAAATCTATGTTCATAAATACGAACTGAAAACGTAACTTCCAAATTATTCAGTTCTACAACACTAAGGTGTTAGTACAAAAAGAATACAATGCATAATACCAACTTGAAGTAAATCCACCATCTAAAGTATATAATCTACAATAAATTATCAATAATATATATGGCAAATGCACCACGAACTTCAAATATTTAATCATTCTGCCAAATCCTTGTCCTTTGGGTGCTCCGATAAACCTATGATATTAAACAAAAACTATAAGCTATATAAGCACCTGAAAACGAGTTGGTACAAACTACATAAAAAAAATAGACTTGAAAACTAACCTGAGTATTGCTGCTCTCTTATGTTCCAGTGAATTAGAAAACTCAACCTTAAAGCATACTATCTACATAGGAGCATTTGAGTGACATAATACATAAAATACATCATAGAAAGAACAAGTGGAACATTTTAACTTGACTTGTAAAATACATCAAACTGTTAGACTTCTAAAAAGAGTACGAATAAATAAAGAAAGAACAAATGGAACATTTTAACTTGACTGAAATTTCAGAATAAGTGCATTTTAGATTTGTGAGGTGCTTTTTTTTTATATCACAATTGCCAAGTTATAATTGAATTATAATCCAAACTTTGGTCAATAAAAAAGTTAGCTTTAAAGAGGTCCTGTGATACTAGGGCCTTTTATATAAACGTGAAGTAACATAGATTACTCAATAGGTTACCTCTTAAGAGATCTCACATATGCACACAACATATACTAGACAGAGAAGCGAAACTTTCATTATCCACTTTTGTGTCTCTACTCACGCCACCAAAAGAGAGCGAACCAGTTAAGCTGCCACAGAAAAAGGAAGAAAAAAAACATTAGACAATTTTCCCTAAAACTTATACGATGGTTTTTACCTTCTTGAAATCACTAACTTGAAACACTTCATCAAAGTTACATGGATTTGAACAATCGTAGAAGAACAAATTCCATTAAAAATTGTAAAGTTAATAAGTGTTATGTGGTGTGTCATAAATCTCCCAAATTAAAATGGTCTTACAATTCATTCAAAAGATATCGAATTGAACTAAACTCTGTTCTTGGTTGTAATAGAAAACATGTAATTTCCCATCCCTAATCCAAAATATTTGTAGACTGGGGAACATATTGGATTTTGTAAGACCATTTTTAATTTGAATTTAAATCAAAGTATAATGTCATTAATCGCACAAATGCATTGTGTCATTTTTCATGCTTGATATGTCCTAGTTTCCTAGGAAAATTACAAACTAGAATATGCTCTGAAAACCAATCATACAAGTTGAATTGCTTGTTCTTGAAAATCTAGAATAGAATCTGCTTCTGAATCTGAGGTCATGATGTTTAGAAAACCTTCCAGATTGGTAAAGTTAGCCTTGGAATGTTACTTATGACACTCTACAATCCTATCACCTAGATCTTCCTCCAGTTTTGCTTGTTTCATTCTCAATTAGGAACATCCTTGAAACTGTACAGCTTAGTTGCAAGACTTTTTGAATCTGTTAACGCTCCACATTCTTTTGATCTTTCCTATAGGTTCTATTTGTATACTACAATGCAATATTTTAACAAGTGGAAGATTAAGATTTGGGGAAAATCTGATCACTTAATTCTAATTCTCTTTTCTTTTCATCATTGTATTGTGCATACATATAACTACTAAGGTTCAAGCACGAAATGAGACAAAAAACTATCACTTCTTTCTTTTTTTTCTAAGTTCAAATTTAAGAATACATACCAACAATCACATTGAAATCAGACAAAAGAGCAATCAATTATACCCGTTAAAAATCAGATTTCAAGTTTCAACGGGCACAACCAAAAATAACTCACCCAGGTGAACAAAAGAGATATTTTTTCAATCCAAATAAGGTTAAACATAAAAATACGAAGTAATAATTAAGGAATAAGTGGAAGCAGAGCTAATTTTGCAAAATCGAAACTTCATCAAACATCAACATCAATATTAATTTATAAATTCATGAAAAATTAGACTGTCATAAAATGAGAAATAATTAAAACAAAGCAATTGAAATGATAACATATTTAGAAATAAACCTCTAGTAGTGCAGAGGCAACTCAACTTGGGTGGTGGCCGGTGGTTTTTTTGTAGAGGGCGGCGGCTTAATTTCTAGATTGGGAGAGATGGCGACGACGGCGTGTTTTCTAGACTGGGAGAGACGACGACTTTCTCCTAGGCTGGTTGTTTCCTAGACTGGAGAGAGCCGACGACGGACGACTAGGGCAGCTTCTTTCTCGTAGGGGAGCGGCGAAGTTCTCAGAGGGGTAGCAGCAGATTGAGAGGGGGCGGCAGATTGGCTTAGGGTGAGGCTACTATCGAGTTTGGCATTTATTATTGATGCGTTAATTTTACATAGCACTATTGGATGACCGCGACCCATATTTTAAGCAGCAATTGCTTCGGTTGTTGCTTGCACGCAGCAAAAAATGCAATTCTTTTACGTAATTGCTGCGGTTCCTCATAAAACGCAGCAATAAATCCCAAAAAAGTTAGGTATTTGCTGCGATTCGTTTATGACCGCAGCAAATACATGTAAAAATCAATTAATTGCTGCGGTTTTTCATAGGCCCGCAGCAAATGAGGAGCAGCAAATATAGAAAATTCTAGTAGTGTTTGAATTTATATTTTTCAAATCACAATTTTAAATTACATAAATCTATCTCTATTTTTATGAAAATTCTATGATTCAAACATGTAACACAAATTTAAGCACATAATGTTAAAAAAAATCATAAATATCAAGATATGATCATCAATCTCCATAAGTTATTAATTTTAATGGAAATCGCCTTTATTGAAATAGACTCAAAACCGGACCAACAAATCAGCTTTATACAAAAAACTAGCGACCAAACTGACCACAAAGGAGTTGGAAAGTTTAATTTGACCATGTCAGTCTCCATCCTCTTAACAATGCCCTACCAAATTGAAAGAAAAAAAAATAGAAACAAAGTGTACACAAACAAAATTAAATGGTAAAAAGCAAATAAAGACTAAAGAAATAAAGTAAAAATGAGTCATCAGTGACGAGTAAAAATGATTCAGTGTCCAACTATGCCATTGCCTGATTACTTTCATGACTACTTGAAAGTCGTGAACATTTATTTTATTCTGAAGTACCAAGTAGGCATGGCCTCGGGCCGGTTCGGGCCCGGTTCGGGCCCGGCCGGTTCACGGTTCAGGATATGGGAGGCCCGGAACCGGCCCGGGTAACCCCCGGGTCCTGTTCGGGCCGGGCCGGGCCTCGGTCCAATCTAAATTTTTTTTTGGCTTCTCCTAATTAACTCCCAACCTCCCCCTCACCCCCAAACCACCTCAAATGGCCCAAAATACCCAGCCCAACCCAAAAACTTAAAAAAATTCAAAAAAAATTAAATTTGGCCCGGACCGGGCCCGAACCAGCCGGGCCGGTTCACCATTCCTAGGGCCCGAGCCCGACCCGTATGACTAGCGGGCCGGGTCAACCCGAACCGCCCTATGGCCCGGTTCCCGGGCCGGTTCAAACAGTGACCGTTCCGGGCCAGTTCCGGGGCGGGCCGCCCAGCCCGAGTCCATCCCTAGTACCAAGTAGGGATGGACTCGGGCCGGGCCAATCGGCCCGGAACCGAACCGGCCCGCTACTGTGCGGGCCCGGACCGGCCCGGTGAACCGGTTAGTGCTCGGTTCGGGCCACCCGGCCCGGTGGGCTTCGGTTCCGGGCTCGGGCCCTCCATTTGGTGAACCGGCCCGGCCGGTCCGGCCCGATCCGGGCCGACTTTAATTTTTTTTTTTTTTTCTGAATTTTTTTTAAGTTTTTGGGTTGGGCTGGGTATTTTGAGCCATTTGAGGTGGTTTGGGGGTGAGAGGGTGGGTTGGGGGTTAAATAGGAGAAGCAAAAAAAAAATTACAAACCGGGTGGCCTGGCCCGGCCCGGAACCGGTGGCTACCGGTTCGGGCTCGGGCCCAACAAAACAGAACCGCGAACCGGCCGGGCCCGAACCGGAACCGGTCCACCCCTAGTAAGTATATTTATCTCATACTACGTATAAAGGAGGTGGGATAGGGGTAGACGCGGATTCAATGCCAGGACCAGAAATTCATGTTCTAGGCTAGGAGTGAGACCGACCCATTGTAATTATTTTTAACATACTACGGAGTAGTATACTACATACAATATTTGTGGTATCCGTTTTTTCATTTTTTCTATTACACATAAAACACTTTTTACTAAACAGGTGTGACATTTTTTCAAAATCTTCTTAGCAAATAGCAACGATTGGCAATTCCTGACGAGTGATAGAGATGTGGTGGTAACCAAGATCGAATCAGATTTTGTATTTAGTCACTGGCATGGGGTTACATCTATTTTTGCTTTTTCTCATCTAACTATAAATATGGAGTAAAACTTTTGTGTGCTTCCCCTAAAACATTATTTTATATTATCATTTTGATTGTTTTAGGGTTATACCCATACTTCTCAGTTCTCAACGAAAAGTCTATTGTTGGATTACAGATTTACAGTAGAAGCATAAGTAGTTAAGTAATGTGAGTCTGACCATGTCCCCCCAGTCTCCCAGTATGTTGACGTGGCACTGGCTTTTAATAAAGAACAAAATATGATGTCAAGTTCAGAGCATTACTTCCTGTGCACTCTTATTGAAGTGGCCATGCCGAAAGATCAAAACTCAGTGAAGCACAAGGCAATTAAAAAAATATAGAAGGTAATACTACAATACACACACATATGTATATGTATTTATATATATACATATATCATATATGATGTGTTGTGAAAGAATTAGTTTCTTATTTATTAGCTTCAATGAACTCCCTGTACTCTCTCTTCATCTTTACCCCAGATAGTGTCCTGCATGCATGAATGTGCAAGTACAATATGAGTTGACAGTGAAAAGCTTTTAAAAGCTTTCAACAACAGAAAGTGAATTCATGCACTAAAAGAAAGTGGATTATTTGCCCCAAGTGACAGTACACTTTGGATGTAAGGAAATCAACTCAAAGGGTCTTTTTTATAAATAAAATAACCAAACAAGGATCACAGATTAATGTATAATGTTATAAACGAAAAGAAGTCATTAGGCCATAAAAAAGATTTGTGAAAAGATGGATGGGACAAGATTAGGGAACAATATTATTAGGCAATAAACAGATGGGGAAGCCTACTTGAGCATTTCCTTGTTTTTGAAGAAGTGTACACATGGTGTACCCATTATATCAGCTGCCTCGGCAATCTCAGGGTCTTCAGTGATGTCAATCTCAACAAAATGGACATCCTGCTCAAATTCATCTATAACCTGCAAAACATCAGGTACATGCTGGGATGATAAAAGGAGGATGAAGATTCAGCAGCATCAGCGTGCACAACATGTAGAGGGAAATCATCATGATGGTTTCAGTCAAGTCAGTTACAAACCTTAGTGAGTATAGGCTTCAATGTCCGACATGGACCACAAGTCGGTGCAGTATACAGCACACATAACAGTCGTGGGCTCTCGTGATACAGCTTCCGTAAGGCATACTGACAGGAGCATAGAGGGAGAGAACTATTGTTGTTCAAAATAGCATTTCAATACAGTAAATGTTTTGGGCCCCAATTGGTAACATTTATCAGGTTACGAATAAGTAGCCATTGACAAATGTATTTGGCTGAAATCGATTTACCAAACATTTTTTCTTAACTCTTACCAAACATGCCCTTACATAAAAAAAACACATGGGGAGGGATAATGATAGGAGCAAGGAAAGAGTATAAAAATACATGATTGCCCTTCACTATTATTATTAGTGAAGGGGCAATCATGTATTTTGAGACCCTTCCTCTGACCCTTTCCACTCCTATCACTATCCCATAGGGGATAAATGGAATATCAATTTATGTTTAAGGCATGTCAGTCCCAAACCTGTCCCTTGTGTTTCGAAAGTGTGATATCAAAACCTTCTTGTACATCTCGGTCCGTGAGATCCTTTTTAACCTCTTCAGTTGGTTTCTGAACAAAATTAACACAATGTAGTTGAACCTTATATTCATTTAATGCAATGAATTTTATATTATATGTTTACCTAATGGAAATGCAGTCGTACTATAAAACTAACTGCTAGTCTATTAACAATAAAAAGTTGACCCCTTTATGAGCCAGATGGAATCAGGTCGAGATCTCAAATACCTGGTGAAATTCAACAAGAAGATCATTGCCTGTAAGATATCTCTCTACTGATAGGGCAGCAACACATCCTGATCCAGCTGCAGTTATGGCTTGCCTCCATTCATGGTCCTACTCGCAGAGGAGCATAGATCAATTATAAGTATATTACTATTGCTGGTAAGGAAATACTACCCCAATCCCTTGCTGATTGCTAGGAATTTGAAGTAACAAACAAAAGTTAAGAAAATATGGTAGGACAACGTAACCATTTTACTATGCTTGCTGAATGAACAAACATTTGTGAGCAAAATGCTTTTATTTATTGGACAGTAATTTGAGATCAGAGGACTGAGGCAGTAACGCAGAAGATTGGTACTTGCTTCAAAATAGGATAATAAGCTCCAAAAGTGAGTTCCTTATGTGACAGAAATAAAGGTTTCACCTTATCAGATTTTTCCCAACGATAAAAACACAAAGGAACATATAACCTTCATATTTTACCTGTACATCTCCAGCAGCAAAGACACCTTTGATAGACGTTTTCGTTGTTCCCTTCTCGGCCAAAATATATCCTGCGCTATCAAGTTTAATTTGCCCTTTCAACAGCTGGCTGTTAGGAGAATGACCTATCCCATAAAACAACCCCTTAGCCTCTAGCACATGTTCCTCTTGGCTGTCTACTCTCCTCAGCAGAATGCCTGACATCTGCCCTTTTGGGTTACTAACCACATCCACAGTCTCTGTGTTGAAATGCACGGTGATATTCGGATTGTTGAAAACTCTGAAACATTCGCCATAATCATCCTGTTAAAAAAACATTTAGGGAGTTGGAACTTAAAATTTATTGCTCATTAGTAGTTTGATTCATCAAAAGGTAAAGATAAAATGACAAGATTGAATTGCTTCCACATTTGTTTAAAAATATACGCTGTATTATAGGAACAAGCTCAAAATTAATGTAAAAAATATAACAAACTAAAATATACTTGGACATCCATTCATGTATTACAAAGTACAAAGTAACCAACAATAACAATATCCATTACTTGAAAGAACAAACAAATATAATGAAAGAAACAACAACATCTTAGTCTGAAACCATGCAGGGATAGTATCAGAGACCCAAAAAGAAGATGTTATCCAGAGTAAGAAAAGAAGTTAGCTATATTTTAATACAACATTTAAGGGCTTGTCAGTTTGGATAATTCCCAAGGGAAACGAAGGGGAGGGATGATACTTAATTTATTAATTTGTTCTTAGATTTAGATGTAAGAAAAAGAAGATGCAAAATTCTGATGAAATACATAGATTTAACTAAACATATGAGTAGTTATATTAGTAAAAGGTAAGTCAATCATCCCATTCCTCCCATCTAAATAATCTTAACCAAACAAGCCAAAGCGGTCACCATAAGTAGCTATTTCTCATGAGTATGAGCTATTTAATCAAATCATTTTTAAAAACAAAACAATATAACATGAGATTGTTATCTGTTCATGTTATTTACCTATCTTGCATTGCCTTTGATGCTCTAAGATGCTCTCCACGGACAAGTAAATGCACATGACGTGCATACTTGGTTAAGTATATTGCTTCCTCAGTAGCTGTATCACCACCTCCAACCACAGCAAGGACCTGGCCTTTAAAAAGCGGGGATGCGCCATCACAAATAGCACATGCACTAATTCCTCTACTCCAAAATTCTTCTTCTCGAGGTAATCTGAGTCGCTTTGCAGTAGCTCCGGTGGCAACAATGAGACTATGGCACCTTACCTGAAAAATAAAAGAGGAAATGAGCAGTAAAGGGATATGTATGATTATTGAAGAGCTAAAGAGTGTCCAGAAGGAGGGAAACAGAAAGTAAAAGAAGCCATAGTTCTTCACGCTTGAACCTAGAATTCAAATTAGGAGACTTTTAAAAGAGATTAAAAAAGGGAAGAAAAAAGAAATTATCTCTTCTGTATTTATCCCTTCCCTGTTTCTTCCTTTTCCGTAACTACTCCACCATAGTACAAAACATAGTATAAGATCTAAACAACAGTTGGAATAACATTTAAATCACACTAGCATTATCGATAAAATATTTTAATGGGAGCTGGAGCTAAACACGCATTTCATCGGGAAGAAAGTGACAGTGGCAAGAATGGCACTCATGGACAAACATAGGGAAAAGATGACAAGTGTCCAACAGCAGTACTACCTGAACCTCAGTATTGAATATCACAAATAAAATAGAATAAGATGGAGGCTTTTATAAAAAACTAAACGTTGGAAGCTTCTCAAAAATGAGGCCGTGACTCATGAAACAAAGTGAAGTTTCACCTTACGTTCACTACTTCGCACAGTAAAAGGAGCACTCTTTACATCAACGAATTCCACATCTTCCTGATACAGTTCAGCTCCCCAACGTTCAGCTTGTCGCCGCATCCTGGAAAAAGATATACAGAAGTGGTTAAAAGTTGCATGTGTCCACAAAGGTGTAATAGATTATGATACGTGTAATGGAAAGTTCAAGTCTAAAAAGTGGTCATCATTTTCTATACCTATCCATCAAGTCTGGACCAGTTATTCCCTCTGGAAATCCTGGAAAGTTTTCTACTTCAGTAGTAGTCATTAACTGACCCCCTGGAACCCCACCTACTTGATAGCCCTCAAACACCACTGGCTTCAAGTTTGCTCGAGCTGCATATATTGCAGCAGTATATCCAGCAGGTCCAGATCCTATGATCACTAAATTCTCAACAATTTCCTCTGCACAAACAGGAAGTAATGGAAGAACCAAATGAGGCTTAAACAGTGTAGCATTTGCAATACATGAGACAGTATTACAATAAGCATCCCCTAGATTAGCAGAAATGTACTTTCACACTTATATTTAATGCTAAAAAGTAGAGCTCATCAACATCCAAGTTCCCGCATACATAAATACATAATGGCTGCGATGGATGTAAAGTATTTGCACTTCTAGCTCAACAATCGAATGTGCATGCTCAAAATATCCTACTGCTTGTTCGAATTACACACTCAAAAAAAGTCAAAATGCTCCAAAAACAAGAGGGGAAAAACAAACAAAACCTGAAGAGCTAGTCTGCACCAGTTCGTTGGTGGAGAGAGAGGCAGAAGTTCGGAGTGATGAAGGCAAGTCACGTCGACGAGTGACGAAAGAAGAAAGCGAGTCGCCTCGAATGGCACGCCGCGTAGTGGAACCGCGATTGATGATGAGGAGAGCATTGGGAATGCGGGAGAGAGCAGAAGTGATCGCAGAGGAGGAGGATGCAGGTACACGAATCAAGGAGGAGCAACCGAGTCTGACTCGGGGATGGATTCCGGTACCAGTCGTTATCTGGGGATGAGAAGCCGTGGTGGCAGCCATTGGTTTCGGACCATTCAATATCACACCGCACCGTCCAACCAGAGTTTAGGAATCGTGTCCTTGATTGCTTGCGACCTGGTTTGACGATTCTAAAAACAAAGGAAAATATTGTTCTTTTGGAAAATGTACACAACTTGTACACACAATATCGGTCACAGACAATTGGTACAGAGTTTCATGTGACCACAGACAAGAGTTGTCTGTGTACATAGACAAATTTTGTCTGTTTCCACGGACATTTACTTTTTTGTAAAAAGTACTTGTCAGTGTCAGGCGGCTCTCAGTGTACTTTTTACAATTGACTGTGACCGACATTGTGTGTACAAGTTGTGTACAACTTGTGTAACCCTAGCATTTTCCTTGTTCTTTTACATATAAAAGATCCCTTTTTATATTAAAATTAAAATTGGGAAAAGATTTTAAACTCTAAATATAGACATAGAATCAGTCATCTCATACAAAACAACTTGATTCACTAGACACGAAACGGACAATTTAAAGTCTAAAACAATCGGAACTGAAATATTGTCCATCAAACGCACATCAGAAATCAAAATTTCCAAACCAAACTTACTGAAACTAAAATAAAAACAAATACTACTAATGAAAGAATAAAATTGAAATAAAATCTTTTCACAAAACTTTTCATGAATGTGGATCTCGATGAGGAATTGAGGACGAACTCTACTATTCTACTAATGTATACATGCTCTAGAAGAAAGCAGACAGAAACATCTGACCAGACGAAGCTAACTAAGACACCAAAAGAACTTCATACATCAAGAGAGACACCACCCCAGAGCACTAGTGTTGTGAGAGGAAGAAGAGAGCACTGAATAGGGTTGCAAGGGTATATGGACCGATATAGGGAGTCACTTTTTGTCAATATAAAAGTTTGTCATATTTTTGTCCATTCAAACTTTATCAGTAATATTAGAGAAAATTGTCAAATTAGTCCATCTACTATCTCGAAAAAGTCAATTGAGTCCACATACTATTTTTTAACCAATTAAGTCTACCAAGTTACAAAAAATGACCAAATTTGCCTTTTATTAGGTAACTAACCGGTATTCTTGGTAACCTTCCTACATGGATCATCCACGTAGCATTTTTTCCTTGTATGCCCTGATTTGGCATCCATGCGGCATTAGACCTCCTTTTCCTTAAAAAAAAACTTCATTCTTCTTCCTGTAACACTTCTTCTTTCTCCCCCATTTCTTCTTTTCTTATTCTCTTCATCTCTTTCTTCTGATTTCTCTTTTCTTTCCTCTCTTCTCTTTTTTCTTGCTTCTTCCCTTTTCCCTTTTCTACGTCTCCATCTTTCTACCGCCGTCTACCTCTGATGCAAACCCCTTCGAGCTCTGCGCCGGCGTCACCGTCGGTGTCGAGCTCTGCCGCTGGCGTCACCGTCGGTGTCGAGTTGTGCCGCCACCTTCTCCGTCGCCGTCTGGTTTCCATCTAAGAGTAGCAAGGGTTTCCTTCTCTAGGCATGAAAGAAGAGGATAGAAGGTTGAGTGGCCGGATTAAATGAAGTGGAGCTGAGAAGAAGAGAAAAAGGAAGAGGAAAAGGAAAGAAAAGGGAAAGGAGAAGGGGGTGGGCAAGATTGCGAGAATGAAGGGAGGGGGAGGTTGAATTGGGTGGGGCATGGGGTAGAAGCAGTGGAGAAGAAAGAGAGATTGAAGAATAGGGGAGAGGGAGTTGCAGGGAGATTGGAGAAGAAGGGGGAAAAGGAAGAAGGGAGGGAGTTGCAGGCGGCAAATGAATTTGGGGGGGGGGGGCGACGGACCAGTCCGTCCAGGCGGATGAATTGGGGGAGATGGGGGTGACGAATCAGAGGGAAAAAAAGGAAGAAGAAAGAAAATTAAAAGGCAAAAGAAGGGAAAAGGAAGAAAAAAAAAGTGTGAAAAAGCTTAATTGGCATCCACCGATCCATGTCAGCAAAAAAACGGGGTAACTGATTGTTTACCGGCCAAATGGCAAAATTGGTTGAAATTTGAGACTATGTGTACCCAATTGATTGATAAAATAGTACATGGACTCAATTGACTTTTTCAAGATAGTACGTGGACTAATTTGACTGTTTTCCCGTAATATTATGATCATTATTTCATATTTTTCTTTGCACGGATAATTAGACTGGTGTGTAAATTGTTGTGTACAGTTAGCGTGTACACGAATGTTGAAAAAAAAAAAGTCCTAAGTACGACTTTACAAGTATATTTCAAGTGAGACACAAAAAAAACTAGTAGTGAATTGAACCGGTTTCAAATTTTAAGTTCAAAATGTATGGTGTTTTGTCGTCATTGTGTTATGTTGTTATTTGCACTTCATGTCCTCACTATGTTATGTTGTCATTTTTTAACTTCTTAAAAAAACCTTTAAATGGAGATTTTTAGCGATTTCAACATGGTACCATATAGTATTGTCTCTTGGACAATCGGGGCAGGTCGTTGGTGACAGGGCAATCCTTTAGTGGTGGAGCAATACGGCGGTGGCAAGACAGTCCGGCGGCGGCGATCAGCGGCGGCGGCGGCAAGACAGTCCGGCGGCGGCGATCGGTGTCGGAGCTCCGGCGAGACTCCCGATGTGAACTAGGCAGAAAACGTGATCTGAAAATTATAATAATGTTAATAATTATTGTTCTTCTTCAAATCACTAAGCATCATTGATTTACAAATTTCTCTTATCCACTAACTTTAATTAAAAAAGTCATACTTAAACTTTTTTCAAAAGTATACCTTCAATTGATTAGTTGTAATATTTAAGAAAAAAATATTATTTGTGTTTCATTTTTTCCCATTTCATTCTTTTAGTTTGTAGTTTAAAAACTGGTATATATTGCTTAGTCAGTTAGTCATTTATATAATCTTTTTTCTACAAAAAATAATGACTTAAGGATAACATATGAATGGCCAGATAATAGACTCATAAACATAAGGATAACCGGATGACCGGATCATGACCTTCAAAAGAGAAATTCAGGTGTGTGTTTTTTATTTGTGAGAGGATATATTGTCAAATTGACTATGTATGATAGCTTATTTGACAATTTTCTTTATTTATTATTTAATCTGTTAAATAAAAACATCTTTAAAACCCTGAAGTGAAAACATTAATGGCCTTGCGATTGTATATCATTTTTTAGAATTGTAAACATTATTTATCAATATAGTAAAAATGTGGACATGCATTCTACTCTACATGTTTTTGAGTGATTATAGATGCATATATGGTTCTAGAAACTTGTATTGGATTAACCTCAACAATTGAAAATAAACTCTGAGGGACATTGTTTTAACTCTAAATCATATGTCGGTTCATGTGAGTCAACCTCAAACTCTTGAAATTAAAGATGTTATTAATTGGACTGAGATTTTCTAATATCGGCGGTTTAAATTTACATTGTTCTAGTCCAATCTGATAGATGACTCTGTATGAGTATTTTATCACTATCGAATTCTGGTCTGGTCTGGCACTAAAACTAGTCCAAGTAAAAATATCACAAAAAAAATTGTTGTGTTTTGAGATTTCAAAATAAGGATGGTTTTACATGGACTGTTTTCAGTCCTAGACCAGGTCAGTTCGGACCAGGCCAAACTTGGATAGTTTTAAAAATACACAGAGACCAGACATTACCAAACCCAATCAAATCAGACCGGGCCAGCAAATTCCGGTGCAAGTAAAAACATCCAAAGTGCAAATTGCTCGTACTGAGACTTCTTCATTGATATAAATGAATAACACCTTCACATGATATATATCCATTTAGACATTTAGTGCATATAGAACTTTTACCCCCCATGTTACATTGTGACCGATATCAAAGGGAAGAAAAGTATGCATGGAGGATATAATTTCCTCATGACCTTTCCTTGGGGTGCATCTGTAAAATATTAGCAGCCTAAAGATTAAAGAAGGTAGCCAGCTCAGCAGGCAGAGTTAGCCGCAAAATGATTGAAGATTGTTTCAAGTGTTGACTGGCCCACACTATATTCTGAAATCCCCAACTGGTCTCTGTAAGAAGTCAATAATTTGCAGCATTAAAAACAAAATGCACAAATTAACATCTAAAAAATATAATGTAATTATAATCATCATTAACAATCACTTCCTTAGACCTTAGTCGTCTACCTGTTCATCTCTAAGTGCCCAAATACATCCCCGAGCGAGACATCTTCACCATATGGCAACTGCAACATTGTCAAGATTCATAATCACTGCCAATTTAATGACCTAATGATGAATAGCGCTCACATAGGGAGTCTAGCACCAGGGGCAGAGATAGGGGTGGGCCAACCTTGGTCCTGGCCCAGCCCAAATTTAAAAAATGTCTTTATTTTTAGTGTAAAAAATTTCGGACAAAAACATTTCCAAAAATATTGTTTGTATCGGCCCAGTCCGGCCCAGTCCGGCCCAGTGTCCTGGCTCCGCCCCTGTCTAGCACCTTGGGTCTGGGAGGGTTCATGCAGGGGCCATAAATAAGTATAATTGGGATCAATTAGGGGAAAAACATAGACGCTCAAGAAAAGACTAGCTCCAAGGCGAACGCAGTGAGAATTTTCAGAATAGAGGGGTGGACAAGAAAAATCAAGGCTTAAATAGGTTTCCAGATCCTCAAGAAATACAACACAAGTTTGTTTTCATCAGCCTCTCGGACATTCAGACAACTTCCAATTTAATGTTTCATGTACAACTCCTTTCTACACTTTACTCGTCAACTTTTTATAGTATTGAATATAAGGCTATGTGGAACTAAACATTCCTTTTTTTATATAGGCTTTCTCTAAACAAAACTCAAGTATTTTTTAGAAAATGTCATAAAATCATGACATAAATCAATGTTAGTCATGTTTGTTTCATTGTTAACGGAGGTTGTTAGAAAGATAATGAGGGACTAAAATGAAAATAATTTCAAATCAATTATAATAAAATAATAATCCCTGTCCCCTTTTACTCTTCAGATTTTCTCTTTTGGACTGCCCCTGAATAATGTTCATGTTTTCATGTAAAGAAAGAATAATGTGGATGATTGTAGTTTTTACATTCCTAAATACATCTCAATCGCATTATTTGA